TAATAAATATACCCCAAACTTTGAAAGGGTGTGAGGTAAGCACCCCAAACTTGCATAAGTAATTTAAACACCCCAAACTTTATATAAAGTTTGGGATATTTAAATTACATATGTAAATCTGTGGTGCTCTTGTCACATCCCTTCAAAGTTTGAGGTATTTTTATTATTTTTCCCTATAAAAATTTAATAAACTGTGTATAAGTTTAATATGAGTGGTTCAATAATTTCTAATAAACTCATCCTATAATTTATCAATGAGTTGACCCAGTCGATCGAAGAATCGATCAGTTGGAGCTTGTCAATGAGTTGACCTAGTCAATTCTTAGATAAGCTCCAGTCTGTCGATTCTTCTGGCTACTGCTTGAGTCATCGATGGACTCTCCCAAACGCATGTACTGACATTATGTCGCTACATGTGATGTAGCCCATCCATGGTTCAAGGCGTAGCCTGAAGAATCGTCAGGATGGAGTTTATCAATGAATCGACTGGGTCAACTCATTAATAATTATAGGATTTGTTTATTAGCAATTATTGGAACCTGATATTAAACTTATACCCAGTTTAATATGTTATATACATTGACAATAGACAATACTTACATAAAAATTTGATCTTCTATTATAAGCGTTCTAACAAAAAACAAAATAAATTAATATATTTTAGATGAGCAACGAACAATCGACTTCGGCTCCCCGCCCTAACTATGCGCCCATGTCCGAAGCGGAGCGCAACAACGAAGGAGCTGTTTGGGTGACCCCTGCAGAAGTTCTTTTGTAAGTAGTTATGAAGAAACCTTATTTTCAATAATTTTATATAATGTTAAATAATCTAACCAAATCTTATATAAATAAATACTATTAATTTTATTAAGTGACGAACAAGTGTTCAAAGGCATCAAAAACATAATCGGAGGACACTTTCTTGGCACTTGGGCCACGCTGTCGGATGTTGACCCCAAGGTTCGCGAACTATGGTGGAACCTGTTCAAGGTAAAAATAAATGAATGTTCCCTCCCTGATTGTATTGGCCTAATATATACCTGGTGATTAATTAATCCAATTTGTTTTAATAAAGGCTCGCTATCGTTGGACTCACGCAAACGGTGCCGATATTCTTAAAGCCTACAATGCTAGGATTTCGACCTAGCTTCGCGCCACTTTTAAACGTGCGCGAAAAAGTGGGAAAAAGCCTAGATGGGTTTCGGATGAAGTGTGGTCCAACCTTTGTCGCCACTGGTCTTCTGATCCGAAATTCTTGGCTAGAAGTGAATCCGGTAAGAAAAACCGGATGTCCGAGAAGGCCTTGGAGATGCAGTGGCACGGAGGTCGTAAATCTCAGAATGCCCATAAGGAAACTCTTGTAAGTGCTATTCAAAAAACCTTACAACATCACAATCCTTCATTATAAAAAATTTACTTAAGTCTTTTTCACACCATTTAGGCTGGTCCTGAGAAGAAGAGGGTTGATGTTCTCCGGCTCGTCAAGCATTGCTGGACGAAGCACGGCGAGGAATCTGAAGCCGATTTGCCACCCCGCCTCGCTGACTTCGAAGTATGTAACATCATATTTTGTTATTTAGTAACATTTCAAATCTAAGTATGTAACATTTAAAAAATATTTTTGAAAATGCAGACGAAGTACAACGAATCCGTTGACAGGCAGCGTGCGGCACGAGGCTTGACCCAGGAGGACGACCTCGATTCCGATGCGGATGATGAGGCGGCCATTGAGGCGGCCGGGGTTTACAAGGGCCGGGTTCCGTGCTTGGGGTCCGAGGGGCAACGGATTTTGTATGATCGAAGCACCGGTGCCTCCTCTTCTCGGTCAAGGCGGGGAGAAGATCCTCGTATTGCTACACTGCAGCGTGAACTGGAGGAGCACGAACGGCGATGGGAGGAGCAGCGGAAAGCAGATGAGGCCACAAAAGCCCAGTTGGAGGAGATGGAACGGTTCATGCGTGCCGGATTCCAGCCTCCGCCACAGCCTTTTCCTCCCCCGTACGTATTCCACCCTGAGCAAACTCCTCAAGTTCAGCACATGAGCGGTATGGGATTTTTCCCCACCTCCGGATACGGTGGCATGCCGATGATCTCCCCGAATTTCGGATCTATGTCCTTTGACTTTGCGAGGTCATCCGGAGGAGGTAGTGGCACCCCGGGTCATGGACACCGAGGAGCACCCCGAGGAGGACCCCGAGGAGCACCCCGAGGAGGAACCCGACCTGACCCCGAAGACCCCCCCGTGAACCCAGATGAGTTTCTTGTTGATGATGATGATGAAGAAGAAGAAGAAGAAAATCCCAATTTTTATCATAATGGAGTCCCACGGGACATGTAATCATCATACATTTATTATTTGTTGTATTTCAAAACATTTAAAAGTTTGTCACAATATTTATTGAATTTGTTGTATGTCTTTACTCTTAAAATGTATTTATTTTAAAAAAAAATAGTATAATATTTTCAATAACTCATTTTTCAAAAAACATTTTTAAATTTAATTTGTAAACATCCGTATTTAAAAAAGTAATTTTTAAAAACATTTTAAAAAAAAAAACGAAAACTGGAATTTTTTTTAAAAAAAACAAAAAAAGTAGTCACGGCCTTATCCGTGACTATAATTAATCCCAAATTATTATTTTTTTTAAATAAAAAACATAATTTTTTTTCCAAAAAAACCAATTAGTCACGGTCGACAACCGTGACTAATTTCAAAAATTTAAATTACCGCCGCGGGCGGTCTTTTAAAAATTTTGAAAATTAGAAAGATTAGTCACGGTCCAAAGCCGTGACTACTAATATTAATTTTAAAAAAAAACTTAGTCACGGCTTCTGACCGTGACTAATACGCCGGAGTGGGGTTCCGGCTAGTATAATAGTCACGGCCGCCGACCGTGACTATTCCGTGACTAAATTTAGTCACGGTTTGTTGGACGTGACTTCAATTTAGTCACGCCCATTAAGTCACGGATTTAGTCACGGCCAGCGACCGTGACTACTTCTGTTAGTCACGGAAAATTTGAACTGCTGTCCGTGACTAAGTCCGTGACTACACGCGTGTTTTTTTGTAGTGGATTTAAGATATCATAATTATCTTACCTTCATTTAAATTATTAATACTTCGTATTTATTGTTTATTTAATAATAATTTAGCAAATTTTAGAATCAATGAGAAAGAATATTATTCGAATTTACGTTACCGGCTAGACCGGGTTTTGGGGTATTACAATTTGAATGGGGGTTCCGCTCAGAAAGGCTTGACTGGATCGTTTCTCTACATACATTTACATATATAGGGTTGAGCACCGGTCCAGGACCGGACTGGGCTGGACGGCAACCGATTGGACCGGAACCGGAATTCCCAAAAGCAATTGACTGAAGATTGGACCTATGTAATTCTGGTCCAGGACCGGACCGGCTTATACCGGGTTTTACTAGTTCGGACCGGATTCGGATTATTAATTAAAAAATAAATTTTTCTATAAAAAGAATAAACATTAATTGCTATTAATTGATTTATTTATTTATTATTCCCGGTAGGCAAACCACCTAAGTTGGTGGGGTAAATGTCGGGGAACATTTATCGGATTTCATTAAAAAAATACTCCGTAATAAATACTACTTCCGCCCCGGTGGACTTTGCCAAGTGCAAAGTAGGTTGGAAATAAGAATAGTAAAAACTGTGTGGTTGAGATTTGTGCAGAGGAGAGAGAAATGTGCAGAACCACAAATTAGTTGTTTTAATAGGAAAGTGACAAATTTTTTTGGGACAACCAAAAAGGAAAAGTTGGCAAAGTCCAATGGGACGGAGGAAGTATAAAAGAGATGGGGAGTGGGGACTAGACCAAAACCTCTCTAGGTATTAAGAGTTGCACACTTGCGCTGAGTTGCCTCTATCGTTGACTGAAGATAATTCGAAGGGGGGGAGCATCGTGTCAAAATCTTCATTACCATCTCTGAGTCCGATTCCAGTTAGAAGTCGGAATAACCCAATCTAGAACACCAATCTATAGCCATGAATGTTGCTTGTGTTTCCGTCCGAAGTACAGTTTGAACCTTCATCGGAGAAAAGAAAGCCGCTACCACTCCCCTCTTTCATTTTTTAGGATAGTCCCACATGCGTTTTTACCTTCAACAAAAGCCGCATTTACTGATAATCGAAGCTTATAAGGATAAATATCTTTCTATCTTAATTACGCTCCAACGAATATTAATCGGCACAATTCCTTCTTGAATTAAATCTTCATCAATGTCACAGATCTTAGGTATAGAGAACAATAACATCCAATGATGACAATATTGTTTGATTTTGGAAATGATTCCCCTTAGGAACTGGATATCTTCCCAAATTATAGCATTGTAGGCTTTCCATATGAACGAGAGAATAATTTGTGGAAAAGTGTTCTTTAAAATACCAGCCAGACTCATATTGTTTGATGATAACCACCAATAGATTAACATCTGATGAATACTAGGGTTATTTTGTTTTTAAGATGCCCGTAATACCCCTGAAATAATCTCATATACCTCTACCCTTAACGCAGTTGTAAAGACAATGAGATTGGGATTGCTCAACACATGGACAATTGGGACACCTTGAAGCAAGGGGAATAAAAAATCAAAGTAAGTTTTTTGGAATTGGAAGATAACAACGCAGCACTTTCCATAGAAACAAATTGATGTTGAACTTTTGTTTAGGATGCCAAGCATGCTTGAAAGAGAACCTCATCAGAAGAGTCTCAAACAAGTTCACAAGCAGAAGCAATGGAGCTAGACACTAACGTAATGCAAAACATTTGCTTGCCTTTATTATGTTTGTGCTTTGGACAACCAGGTTCAGTATGTTCAGACTAATTAATCCATCACAAGTACGTTTTGTGCTATCCCATCCTGCCACAGATCCACCTTATTGCTGTCTGCCAAACATGTCTCATTAGATTCAGGGGAGTTGACTACCCGTAATTACCCACCCATTGTCATCCCTAGACATGTCTAAGTTACAAAGTCGGCTGTATAGGTAATTAGGTACAGGTTACAGATGTGAATGAAAAAATAATACTACATACCACAAGTGATAATAATTCCTTATAAAATAGCATCATCTTAGACGCGAAAAAACAGGAAAACAGACTATTCAATTCCCTTTTAACAACGCATCTTCTGATCTTCCCTGCAAACTTTTCTCTACTAACAAAAAGCTTTCAACAACAATAAAACACACAAAATAAAATAAATAACAAAAACCACTATCAGGAAGAATAAAAGTTCAAGAAAATCCCATCCTAGGCACAAGAACCGCTTCGTTGCTTGTAGCATTCTTGGCTGCAAGTTCTTCTAGACGTTTCCATCTGGCTTCACGCCTTGACCGCACATTGTTCTCCTTTGACTCTTCTTCCTCGAAATTGTGCAAACACTCTTTTAAGAGATCAGGGTCGAGATCATAGAAGACCTTTCTAATGTTGAGCGATAAACAATGGACGGCCTGGTTCCAGTGGCTTCTGGCGTTTTTCTCAAGTGCAGGGAAGATGATAGGGAGGATTACCTTCCTGTTTTGTTTTATTAGATTCTCGATGTGGTCATTATTCCATAAGAACAGGGCCCTCTCTGCCACCTGTATCAAAGATCATATTCATTAAGTTAGTACCTTCGCAAACCTAAGAAACATGATATAACAAAAACATCCAAGCCTTAGTCCCAACAGTGAACTAGTCTTTAGGATCATATTCATTAAGTAGTTGCTTTTAGTTTAAAATGAAGAAGAAGAACCCAATGGAAATTGAACCCAGGCCAATGGAAACATGATAAGAATGAAAAATTACCTCTACCCCGCCTAGTATGGGGTTTATTAATAACAGTTAATTTTCTTATTTGGGGTAAAGAACAATGCCTTTACTCCCTCCGTCCCGCTAAGATTGTCTCAGTTCCTATTCACTTGGTCAACACAAATCACTTTTAATCTCTTACTTTATATAACAAATTTTTATCAAATTTGATTCTGGATTTTGCGACTTTATAAAGCTTTTAATGTAGTTTCTGAATATGTAATTTTTTTTAAAAAAATAATTTGAGTGCAGACAAGGACTTGTTTGCTTTATCCTCGGTCAAGCATCGTAAACCAAATTGTCCAAATCTTAGTGGGACGGAGGTAGTATAAGCTTAACCTGACTTGACTTTACATGTTTCCACACGAAGGTGGCTTGTTGAGCATTTCGGAGAGGAGGGGAGGAAAGTGGAGGAGTAATATGCATTTAGTTTGGGGAGTTGAGGAGAAGAGGAGGGAAATGGAAGAGCTGTCCTAACTTTTCACCTCTCAATCCTCCATCTGTGGGGATCTAGGGAGTGGTAGTATGATAATTTATTATTTTCTTTTAATTACAAAACTTGTCCACATTAATATAATATTGTTATACATTTAAAATATTACTTAAGAACCATATTTAATTAGTCTTTAGAATCATATTCAGTAAGTTAGTACCTTCGCAAACCTAAGAAACATGATTAGGATGAAAGTTACCTATACCCAACCCAGTACACGGTATATTAATGACAGTTAATTTGCTCATTTTGGGTAAACAAATTATCCCAATCAAAAGACTAATACTTGAAGTTCCATCTTAAATGGTCAAACTAGTCAGAGTAGACCAATGCCTTATATAAGCTTCACCTGACTTGACTTTGTCTCTGCACGAAGGTGGCTTGTTGTGAACATTTAAATTCAGAAGTTCTTTTGCTCATTGCAAAGGCTTACCGAGATCTTGCTCGTTGAAGTTTTCTCTGATATTATACAAAGGATTAGAGTTCCATCCTAAAAACACAACCTCATAGAAGGAATAACTTAATGTATTCTATTGTGGTTTGTGCTTTTATATTGAAATAATTGTATTTCCAGCACAAGCATATCTTATGTGCCAGGAGATGGTAAGTTCTATCCTAGTGGGTGTGATGGAAATAACATGACAGACAGTTATCACCCAATGTACTTTTGGTCTATCCCGACCACTAAACATCGTAAGCGTTACTTTCAATTAAAAGAAAACAAGGGGTTACCAACTGCTAACGTATGGTAGAAGTGTTTTTTCATTTGAGCACTTAAAGTGATATTTTAAACCAGTATCAATTTATTGCATTATTAAAAAAAAGATTACAAGCGTTTTTTACAGTTGAAAGCATTTTCACATTCCCTGTCAAAAGCTTCTTTTCTTCTTCTAAAGGATGTATTTCTTGAAAATAAAGTCATTCCAAACTCTTAACTAGGTGGCAATTTGGGCTAACTTTTTCTGAAAGTAAATCGTCTATATTATTAAAATAAGTCTCAAAATTCTTACATCCAATAATTTGGGCCAACTTTTAGAAAGCACTTTTACTCATAAATATTTTTTATAATAAGAATCATATTAGTGCTAGTAGTTTAAAAAAAATGTATTCGACTATATGAAAGCTAAAGATTGATGAGTATCAATTCAGTAAAATCATTCTTATTCCATATGTAACCACAAAAATGCTTAAGAAATCTGGAAAATGCTTGTACTTCTCTCACAGGTCATCCCAAATGGGCTACAAGTCCATTGTAGGACACAAAAGAGCACCACAAGGACAAGTCGCATTCCTCAGCACACATTGATGTTTGAAGAAAGCTGAAATATTCAAAGGTATACTGGACTAATGGCAGGATAAAATACCCATTTAAATAAAGGAAATGGAATTCTGGACCGACCCACAGCAACTTACCATCTCCTCACATCTTTTTTCAATCCTCCTTTAGTTTACTATTTCGAACTAGCAAGTTATGGTCTTATAGATACCCAAACGCAGTATCGATCGCATGCCACTAATCTGGGGGTCTATGCTTTAGTGAAGGACCCAAGTAGCATATGTCATTAGTTTCAACCAGATGATTAGTTAGCCATTCAACACTAATTTCTACTCTTCCTACTTATCTATCTTCATTGACCAAATCACACAGTTATATTTTGCCAAAAATGATTATAGTGATAAAGTAGATAAGTAATCAAACCTTGTTATATTTTGCCTGAAATTCCACTCAAACATCTAATACATTGTAAATAACTATTGTAAGTCATCGGTTTAAAATGCCCTTACAAGAAAACATAATGGCATAACTGTGAAAAAATATTTAGTACGCATAGATTTCATAAAAAAGACAGATAAAACGAACAAGCAAATATGGTCAAAGAAGACATAACCAAGAATGGAGGTAGCAGGAAGTTTGCACACCACACAAGAAAAGAAAAAATTGAGGAAGAAGAAAGAACAGATTTCTAATGACCAACTTTTTACATATCCCCAAACAAGCAAATCCCTCTATACATGATGATTAAATGACATTTGGCCATATGAGGATGAATTCATGCAGTCATTTCAAGAAGATATACAATGATGCATCATGCATGATGTTTGCCAACAATATTGTGTTGATTGATGAGACAAGACCATGTGTTAAAGCGAAGTTGGAAGCATGGCAGAACCAGGGTTTCAGGATAACATTATTGGGGTATGTCAACTATACTGAAGGTTAAATTTTATCGAATAGCAAATATTATTGTATGACGTAGGATGCTTTGTGGTAAAACAATGTCGCATTCACAAGATGAGTATGGTTGAGATGCGCATGTTACATTGCATGTGTGGATACACTAAAGAACCACTTGAGGAATGACACAGTCAAACATAAAGTGGGAGTAACATCAATTGAAGATAAAATGCAAGAGTGAGGCATATATGTGGAAGGTTTCACCAGTTACATGAATTGAGAGGTGAGAAACGGAGTGGTAGGGAGGTGACAGACGTGGATTAGAGAGGTGAAGAATGATACAGTATTTCTTGAGTTAGATGAGAGTATAGAGCAAAATGGAGGGAGACTATGCATGTGGAAGATTGATCTGATTTTGTTTGTCTCACCTTTATCTATGTATTATTATTAATTCTAATGTCATATGTTGATTTGTGTTAGCTGACCCCAAACTCTTTTGGGATTTAGGCTTGGTTGTTATTGTTGTTATCGTTCGCCATAAGAGGATGAAATGAGCTCTTTGGAAGTTTAACCCAACACCTTAATATATTGAGCATCATGGAGTGGACTCTTAAGTGATAATCATTCACTAGAACCCGTAGTGCAACTGTGCAAAATGACCTCATAGTTTTTGCTATAAGCTCACCTTTGGTTGGGGGATTTTGGAGGGGAGGGAAAGAAAGTAGAGGGGTGATATGTATTTAGCTTGGGGAGTTAAGTACATATCTCAATCCTCCATTTTGGGGGATCTAGGGTTTTTTTCCTTAATTTCTTATTTTCTTTCAAATGCAAAACTTATCTACATTAACATTATTATACATTTAAGATATTACGTTATACTTTTGATTACAACAACATCGATATCAACATACTATGTTGATAAGTCATAACTCCATTGAACCAAAACACAATGGTTTTTAAACTCTTCCATTTTCCCCCACTCCCCTATCCACTTCAGAACCAAAAAAGAGGTAAAATAATTGTGCAAACATAATGGGTATGTTTGGATCACAAAAAAACTACGAAAAGAAAACTTAAATGCTAAGAAAATTATTTTCTCATGTTTGTTTATGCCTAGTACAATACAGAAAAGTAAACAATCAAATGTGATTAACATTTTTGAATTTTCTAAAAATACTTAGATTCCACAGTCTTATTTATATCATAAAAGTAAATAAATAAAGTAAGTGTAAACAAATATACATAATTTCCTCTAAATTACATCCCTAATTTCATTCTAGTGTTTTAAGGGTTGAAGACAACCCCAAAAAAGAATGATACAAACACCACATTATGCAATGTCAATCAATAAAATACCTGGAAGTGCATGCTACTCAAACAACGAGCAACTTGGCGAAACAAGGGCACGACACATCTTAAGAACTCTGCAGCCTGAGTTGCCTCCAAGATTTCCTCCAATTCACCAAGAAACATAACTTCTTTTGAGCTATTCGTCACCGGCCAATACTTCAACAATCCCCTAATAACTGTATCGGCAAGCTTACAATCTTTCTCCACAAACTGTGTTACACAATATGACAACTGCTGGTGGTACATAGGCAAGCATTTTGGCTTATGCAAAGGGATCAACATCCTCACAAGGAAAAGCTTGTGCTCCTCTTTTAATGGCAAAGCAAATCCGTTGATTATGCTACCCAAAATCTCCAACAATTCGGCAATTCCGTTATGTTTTTCAGTCTCGAAGATGAAACGGTAAAATATATTGTTTATAGCTTTACGTATATATGGCCGGTGAACCATAAACTTCCCGTAGATGCGGTGAACTATGATTTTCAAATACTCTCTTTCTCTTGGGTCCTCGGAGTCAAAGAGGTCAAGCAATTTGAGGACGAATGAGTGATCAACATAACGCTTTGCAATCTTTGCATCTGTTTCGGGCGATGCAACGAACCGTAAGAGAAGTTCGTAAATGATTTGTAAATGTGGCCATGCTGGGTCCATGGCGGGCTCGTCATCTTCAACATCAAACGCTTCCACCTTGTTCTCTCTTGGCTGTGGTTTGAGCTCCCTGAATATATTCGCAGAAATCATCTTCACAGCTTCTTGCATGACTGTTTCTGTGAACTTCACATTGGCCGAAGTGACGTATTCCATTAGCTCGAGTAACGTCTGCCTCTTGATCTCTTTCTCTTTGAGGTTCTTTGTGGGGTCACTGAACTGAAAGACGACACAGCACATGTTTAGCTTTCTGATGAACAAACTTTGCTTCTCAGAAGTGGGGACGTCTCGGAAACTCAGCAAGGCTTCATATGCTGACATAAGAGAGGTTCTGTTTGGTTTGGAGTTACCGTCCGCGACGCTATTGGGTATGGGAAAAGGAGATGAAATAACAGTATTTGAAGAAGCTCTGACTTGTTTTTTGTCACTTCTCTTTGTGCTTGTTGAAGCATCTGAATTAGAGGCATGGTGTCCAGCCGACTTGGGCTGTTTCTTTGGAGTTCTACCAAATATCTGTTTGATCATTATTTCACAGCCCACAGATATCTACTTTCGAACATAAGGCATACTAGGACATTCAGCAGCTCTTTTACTTAAGCAGTGCGGCACAGAAAATGCAGAGGTATGATTAAAAATAAGCAGACAGAACCTACTTTCATCCATACAAAAACAAGCAAGCCTCCATGATCAAATCAGGGGTGGGGCAAAAAATCCCCTTTTCATCCAAACACAACTTCAATACAGAAAACAAATGTCATAAATCAAACCAAATCTCAAGCATGCCCTCTCAATATTTCTTGAAACCCCAAGCTCAAAATTTGAATTCTTTCGCACTCAAAGCTCCTCAAAATAACCGAAGAAGGAGAACCCTTCCGCGTAGGCCTTAACTTTCCACAAAATAAACAAAATCTTGAAGCAGAAATCAACAATTACCAGTTTTTTTCATTAACAGATAGAGGCAGGGGGGCAAGTGATTATTTAAAATTTACAGAAAATCATCATAAACATATGTAAACGTGTGCATAGGTCTTGGCTTTCGAGGTAGGGGAAGAAGTATCGGCGATTCTTACAGAGGAGAAGGAACCGGAAATGTAGAAATTGAAAGCACCATAGACTTTCGGGAGATGGTTCTGATTACTGTGTTTTCTTTGGATTTGTCTTTTTCTCTTTTTCGTTCGATGCCTTTTGTTGACTCGTCTAATTTTTCCCGTCTTTGGACATTACATTACTGTCATTACCAGCTCCTTTAATCTAAACCTGAGACTACCTGTGAAACGACAGCGTAACAGCGGTATTGATTCTTTTTGTAGGTTTACTTTTCCGCTGGGTTAGCCACTTAGCCCTAATCATACGAAAATCAGAAAAATACATGTAAAGATAGTTTCTAAAAATTGGTGTAGGCGCCCGATTACCCGCCTAATCACTAGGCGCTAGTCGGTTGCTCCGATTTATTTGTAATTGGTGGAAGAATCAGTTCGGGGCCTTGCGATACGGCTTTAATTTGTTCCCGCCTAAGTGCATTAGACGATATACAAACAGTCACTGTTCCACTAGCGTTTAACGTTTTTTAGAACATCGCAAGTAACACACTTTTAGGCGTTTTTGGTATAAATTGTTTTAGTAGTATAACAAATATATGGCTTTTGAAAACCAATCGCACTCAAAGTTGTTGTGATTTAATCATTTAATTAAAACATATAGATCAGAAACTATAATAAAAGTGATTTTTTGTTTTCTATTTTTCAAAATTGGAACAGGGGAGACATTTCAACTTAATACTATATATGAGAGAAATGGCTATACCACCTTAAAATTGGAACAGGGGAGACATTTTAATAGTGTATGACACTTCATTGATTAATATATAAATCGTGATGAATTCAAATAAAAACATAAATATGGAGTAATAAAATATGTATTGAGTTAGCATAAAATTATATGGATTTTGGTATTAATATTGAACATACATAGCTGATAAATTATTAAAAAAATTAAAAAGTTATGCCCTTAATTTTCTGAAACTTAACTGTATTTACTATTTACTAAAAATCGCATATACACTCAATTATATATTACGGAGTAATATTTTTCTAATAAGGAAAACAGGTGAAATAATAATACTACGTAGTTCAAATTTTTTTACAAATACCAAAACTGTAAACAGTCTTAAAGGTTATCACTGTGCTGGCTCTTCTCGTCAACAGAAAGTTAATTAGTGAATATAACTGATCTAATTTAAGTCAAACATACCATTACAGTTAATAATTAGTTTTACTCTTCATTAACGAGAATGGACTACTTTTTAATAGGAGTCGAACCTTCGTTCTAGTTCTAGATTAGGGTAGCACTTTAAAGCCACTCAGCCGACCAAGGATAGGTACAGGCGTACTGCTATAGCCGTTTCTCCTTATTTATTCTTTCAATAAGAGCAATTCTTTCTATGAGCATCTAAGATGGTTCATTTGAATCCTTTGATTGCAATTTTAAAGATAATACTCCCTAGTTTACAATTGGAGCATTACATTTCGTTTCGCTTGTGAGAGTTAATTAATTAAAATAAGTTACTTGCTTGAGAAATGAGAATCATCAAGTATGACATTATTAATACTGAATAAATTAATAGTAAATGAAGAGGAAGAATTCATTATTAATAATGTAAATTAATAGTAACACATTAAGTACACTTTAATTTGTTGTGAATACTTATGTTGCTAATCAAGTCATAAGGGTAATTAGCTAACCATTGGAGTAGCCGAGTAGGAATGGACCTCAGTCCGGCCTGGTCGGGCCCGGGCGATACCAGTTCTAGACTAGTGGTCTGGAGCCTGGTACCGGCCTGGTATGCATCAGTACCGGTACCCCGTCCGGGCCCAAAGAGTATCGGGTCGGTACCCACCCATTTAATTAAAAAATAACCATAAAAAACAAGCATGAAGCCCGCCCCTTATTACCACCGGTCCGGATATCAGGCCGGTGCCAGTCCCGTAAAATTGGGCCCATGTCGGTACCAACAATACCAGTCTTGGGTCAATCACAGGTCGAGCCGCCCAGGCTAAGTCCATCCCTACGTTGGAGAAACAACAAAATGTCAGTGAGTACTCTCATTCCGCTATTTAAAAATAAGGGTGATAGTACAAGAATGTGCTAACTATCGAGGAATTAAGCTTAGAAGTACATCATGAAACTGTGGGAGCGAGTGATTGAGCAAAGACTTTGAAAAAGTGTGAAAATTTCGGAGAACCAGTTTGATTTTATGCCAGGACACTCAACAACATAGGCAATTCACCTTCTTAGACAAGTTATGGAGAAGTATAGAGACACTAAAAAGGATTCGCAATTGGTGTTCATTGACTTAGAAAATGCATATGATAGGGTACCTCAACTAGAAAAGGCATATCACATAAGTATATCAATATCATCATTGAGTTGTACGATGCTTGTGCTACAAGTGCCCACACTAGTGTAGGGAGGACCACAGAGTTCTCTATTACTATCAGAGTGCACAAAGGGTCTGCTATGAGTCCTTTCTTATTTGTTAAAGTCATGGATGAACTTACGAAGTCAATTCAAGAAGATATACCGCGGTGCATGATGTTTGCAGATGATATTGTATTGATTGATGATATTGGAAGTATGACGACAAACATTGGAGACCAAGGGTTTCAGACTGAGCCGAAGCAAGACTAAGTATATGAAGTGCAAGTTTGGTGGAGGTAGAAGTAGTAGCAATAGTGGGATTACTCTTGATGGTAAGGAGATACCGGTGTGTGATATGTTCTGTTACTTGAGTTCCATAATTCAGAAGGATGGTGAATTAGATGGAGATGTATGCTATAGAATCAAAGATGGGTGGATGAAATGGAAGAGTGCATTGGGATTTCTATGCGGTCGAGGTATGTCGACTAGACCGAAAGGTAAATTTTATCGAACAACAATTCCTCAATTAAGCCTGCATTAATGTATGACATAGAGTGTTGAGCGGTGAAGCAATGCCACATTCAAAAGATGAGTGTGGCATAGATGCTTATGTTGCGTTGGATGTGTGGATATACCAAAAAAGACCACTTGAGGAATAAGATAATCAGACAAAACGTGGGAGTAACACCTATAGAAGATAAGATGCAGGAGTCTCGTTTGCAGTGGTTTGGGCATGTGCGTAAAAGACCGAGTGATGCACCTGTTAGATGACTTGAGGGGTGGGGACAAGAGGCGGAGAAGAGAGGGAGGGGAAGACTCAAACAGACTTGGATTAGAGGAATCAGAACTGATATGCATTTTCTTGGGTTGGATGAGAGTATGACTTTGGAGAGAGCAAAGTGGAGGGCGCACATCTGTGTGGACGATTGATGTCCTTTCTACCTTTCCTCTCTCTTCTATTTTATTGTTTATCTTCTTTATCTTTTTTATATTTTTATGTTCTTTTATCTTTCTATCTTTCATCTTATGTCATTGTTATCTTGTATTTATCCATCTTTATTTTGTCCATTTTATCTTACTTTTTATTTTGCCTTCTTGTTCGTCTTCTCTGTTTGGCATCGTATCATAGATCGATTCATGTTAGCCGGCCCCCGAATTCTGTTGGGATTAAGGCTTGGATGTTGTTGTTGTTGTATACTTCCACTATAGGCCTACACAAGAATATTATGAACCCACATAATCCGCTTACCCGCTTAATCCAACCCTATCCAACCATTTTTAATCTAATGTTTCGTTAAAAAAATATTTATGGAGATCGAATAAGTACGAATCCATTTTTAATAGGTAGGGTTGCAAAATAAAAATCTCAAACTCGATAGTAGCCTACTCAATCAAAAGTTCATGTTTTGTTGGATAATTTTTATTTAAGACTACATATTGTGCTCTATAATTGATACTAGAATTATATGATACGGAGTACTAGTTATAATTATTTTCCATTTTGAGTAGGTGACTATTATATTTATTTAAGCTTATACGTAGTAAAAGGTACTTATATTTTTTGCATTTTGAAAAGAATGAATTACATAAATATAACTACTTTTAACCTTACTAACAAAAATATAAGTATTTGCCCTACTTTTACTCCAAGGTTGTGGTAGGTGTTCCTTATTAATAGTCACTCTTTTGTAATCACAAATACTATTGATAATATTTATGTAAAAAACTCGAAAAGAATAAAAGTTAATTGGGACTAAAATTGACTGAATTTTTTTTCAACCCGAAGCTGTCCACATTAAACTGGTGATAGCACTAAAATCGATTTTTTGTCCCACTCACACGAGCCCATATTCTTGCTTTTCTATCAATTTCTAATTCTGATCTTCCTCCCAAATTTGATGTTATTGTGCCGGTGTAAACCAAAATTCCATTATGGTCCAATTCTAATTAAAGATCCAACCCGAAGTGATTTTTTTCAATATCCGACCCTACCGACCCATTCATGTATGGGCGGTATGCACAAAACATTTCAATAATTTATTTAATTGACTTTCCGATTAAATTTTGAACTGAACTTTGTGTATATAATGATATAATCTACACTTCATGAACAACAAGCTTACAAAATTTCATCAAAATATTGCACGAGGTAGCACCTAAAAGGCTAAAACAGCCTTCAACGCACGGCCTTGCGTAGTCCCGGTTAGTCCAGAGTCTAGACTGAGGTGAACGGGATTGCGATAAATGTACCACCAAACTGGGATCTTATTAACTTTACGGTTGAGATTCAGTTTATATGAACGAGTAATTTTTTTGTTGAGGCAAAAATATATCGCCACTTATAAGCAGGGCCATTTTTTAGGAGGTTCAACAGGTTATGCAGAACAGGGCCCCCGATTTTATGGGGCCCCAAATTTTTAAAAAATTATTAGTATTATATAGTAATATTACATATTAATACTAATCACTAAAATACAGTTAGCTAGTAAAGAAGAAAAATATAGATCCATCATTTTTCTCGTTGGTCCTTTTACTCTTTTAGTTCTCTTTTAATCAGTATTCAATTGATTTGAATATAAGTATTTGGACTAAGATTTTTTTTATATTTTTTATATTAATGTGGGGCCCCAATTTTCCATTTTGAACCAGGGCCTCCAAATTCATTAGACGGCCCTGCTAGTTATAAGTTGTATAATAACTCATATTTATCACTACCAGAACTACAGAAGGGTTAGAACATTTAGTATATACAAGGATAAAGCTTAAAAAATAGTTCTAGACCAAAAAGAAACCCAAATTTCCCGCAAGCAGATATTTGTTGATTGATTTAATAGGAATCATGACAAATATATTACTAAAATGAGATCCTTGAATAAAAATGTGAATGCTTTCATGAAAAATTACTGTACTCTGTCATTGAGTATCAATTTAGTAATATTTCAACAAAACCCCTACCTAATACGTAATAAACAGTGGTTGCAGAGAAAGTCACCATGGTCCATAAATTAGCTTGATGTAACTCTGCTACTCAGAAACGCTTGTAGTGATGGTTCCCTCCCAAGAAACTCCAACAAGAGTTCGAGCGGGTCACTAGCTCCCCCAGGAGCCAATACCTGGAAACAGATGATGAGAACTTTCGGCATGGAGTTATCAAGAACATGGACTTCAAATTAGTTGTGAATTGATCTAAAACAATAAAAGCTAGCACCTCCGTCATCGTATAAAAACCAAGTTTGTTTTGTATAAGTAGAGAGGAAGCTCAGCTGGTCATCTACTCACTCTCTCATATGGGAGGTCTCGGATTTGAAACTCCATGGAGAGAGTTTCACCCCTGTTTACCCAGAGTCGAAGACTCTCCCTAGTCCCCCTCCCCTGACCGCTAGGGTAAAAAAAAGTAGAGTTTTTTTATCAATTTAAGATAAGTAGCAAGAAATCTGCTGGAAAAAAACGAGTGTATAACGTTGAGTTTATTTAAAATATCAACATTTTTTAACATATAAGCCTCATTCATGATTTACAACACTTATACCTCATCAAAATATGTAAAATACATTAATTAAGCATGACGCATTTTATAAATTGAATGAACACTATATCAACCATCCAATGGTACTTGCTAGGATAATACTTTTATTTATGTATTTTAAAACATACATACATACATACGCATGCGCGCACGCGCGCACACATATATATGTATGTATATATAAACACACACACATACACACCTACTATGTATTTTTTTAAAGTTCAGGACGACTGAACCCCTTAGTCACAAGGGATATGACTTAAGAGCCTGCTTGGAATCGCTTCTGATATAAGTGCCTTTATCACGAGTGTTTTCTCATTTAAGCAATGGAAGTGGTTTTCTTAAGGCAAAACTTATCCAATTGCTTACCTTGTCCCTAAATTGCAAGCCTGATTGCAGGTTAAATATATTGTTGCGGAACTTCTGAGCAAATAAGTCAGCTGCAAAAACCTATGAACAATGCAAAAGTAGTCAGAGATATTACTAGCTATTAAATACGCTCGTATATCATCCACTAATGAACTCTGTTTTTTCGGAACACCGTCAATATTCAATTTCAAACAGGGTGAACTGTGGAACCCACATGTTCCGGGAGCATTTTGGCTCCTAGATCGCTCTGGTGTTGGTGTTTGGGGAGCGTTGTGGTACAAGTCAAAACAAAACATAAAAACTAAAATAACAAACTGTTGCAAATTATGAATCAAAATGACATCATAAAAACTGTTTTTCTTTTTTCTTTTAAACTATTTTATAAAACTACATATTCAAAATTTTGATTTTTGAACACTGAACTAAATCAAACACTGTTCTGAAACACAACAATTTCTAACCAAGAAAACACATTTTGAAGGTACTTTCCAAATAGATATAGGATAACAGTTTTTTGTTCAACATCTCAACTATCAATGTCTAAAGTACAGTAAGAACAACAATCAATCAATCATCATTTACTCCGGTGCCACAAAGGCTCCCACCTACGGTGGGTAAGGGGGGGTCGGATGTACGCAGTCTTACCCCTGTACTAAAGCACAAAGAGACTGTTTCCGGATGACCCACAGTGAAAATCGCGTCAAAAATTGCATTGACTGACCGCTGCTTCATAACAAAGAAGCGCAGACAGTTAGGTGAGCCATTTTGCTTTATTCCATCATATTCTCAAGCCAAAACATAATGAATCTTTGGCTCCATTGCAAATGATGGAACTACAGTAAGAACAACAATATTAATACGTAGTATTTAATACGAGTAGCAAGTTTTAACGGACCAGTGGAGCAAGAAAAAGTATAGTTATGGGAAATAAGGGCCAAGTGAGAAATCGTACCTCGCTCCATATCCGACTGTAACAAGTAGCTTCACAGCCAACAGCAGTTTGTGGAAAACACGAAGCCGGGTTAGTTCCTTCTAACATTGGTAAGCCTAGCATTACCTGTAGAAAGCTTGGTAAGCCTAACATATCTGATAAGAGATAAATCTTAGGTCTAGTTTGGTAAGACGTCGCGACATGTAATAATGCATTAAGATCATGTGTGATGCAATTTCTCACACAAAAATACACCCTCTGTCCTAAAAACAATCTTATCTTAAAAGTACTTTCCATATTTATATGATTATAATTAGCCAAAAAAATTGATAAGTGGGTTTTACGGATGTACCGATTTTGACTAGTGTAGAAAATTTCCAAATGTAGGAGAGAAGATGAAAGTAAGGAAAAATGGAAAGAGATGAAATCCACTTTGATAGGAATATTTGACTACGGAAAAGTGGGTTCATTAAACAGTCCTGCTTTTGAAGGAGTATTTGATTACATTGCATTACAGCTTACCAAAAGGGATTCCATAAAAAGTAGACATCTTAGAAGCAAATACCTTTGGATAGAGATGTTTGTATAATGCAGTGATATCAACGTTTTCAGTCGAATGAATGATCTGATCAAAAAGACCTGACAGAAGACACATTCAACTTTGATAAACAACAGGAACTGATGAAAATACAAATGTAAGCAGTTTACACATGTAGAACCTGAGAACCCCACTTTGAAGGATAATGAAGGTATAAGCTGTATCCTTGAACTTACAATAAAATATTTCCTGTTTTAATTTCAATGCTGAAAAAGCATATCTCCTCTCCTTCAGTGCTTTGCAATGTTCATCCTTGATAGGCTGTGTGATGTCCTGGTGACAGACAATGTCAGTGATATGATAAAGACACTCTAGAGTATCCATTTGGCCTGTTTAAAAAGAAAAAGCTTCCAACCAGACTAAATTATGGACACAAGGATACATGTGGAGATCCACTGGTCTATAAGATCATGATCGGTCCGCCTGGTTTCTGATTTCATCCATAACTCAAGTAAAAGCAGGACGCAGGATATGCATATAACCTTACTTTTCTGCTAATGAACCTCATTAGTCAGATTTCTCTACCAAATACCAACTTTTTGACAGTGTTACCTTAGTTGTCAGAATAAATTTAGTGCAAAATTACTTTGTTAAAAATGATGAGACGGCCAAATAGGATGAATTTGCAAAAATTATGGCTATAATCAGAACCCATGTGAAATTGTGGACCAATCCATGTGAAAAGAAGAGATAAATTAAAAATTCAGATTTAGGGATGACCTGATGAAACCCAGATATCAACTTCAAGCAGGAGGGCTCATAACACCTAGTACATATATTTAGAATTTGTTTGCAGGAACAACTGAAGTCAAATATCCAACATCAACAAACAATGCGGGCAATAAACAAACCAGTTCTCAAACAGTAAGGCGGGAATCTCGACGAAATCTGGATCCAGGCGCAGCCCAGAGAATTTGGGAAATGATGCACGATTGCAAATGTGATGTATCTGAAAGTTCACCAGAATCAAAGAACAGAAAAAAAGTCCTATTCAAACAGGTATGAGGACACAAAAGCTAATGCTTTAATATGAAGAAAAGGAAAAGCAAGAAAAAGTCACAAAAAAGTTACGTAGAGCTATATATAAGTAACACATGATAAACTTAAGTAGACTAACTAAATTAAATTTTAAAAAATGAGGACCATGAGGTTTTATGACAATTTTACCTCAGCACAACCAAAATGTTAGACACCGGTCAAACATGACTCTTTTTTGGTATGGTGGTAGTACTAGAAAGATAGGATTGTTCTTTAGTCAAATTAAACTATGGCCACTATTCAACATAATCAATGGAAGAACATATCAGGTCTCAGAGTAAGGATTATTGTAGCAACATCAAGCCATATATCTTTGAGCAACTAGAACTTTATACATTGATCTACAAAGAGATAAAAGCGCATAAACAAAGATCATGTTCTGCATAAGACAATTTGTAAATTGCATACCACGTGACCAAACTCATGGAAAAGACTGACAATGTCAGAGAATCTCAATAACCCTGGTAGACCTCCAATATCCTTGTCAATTTGAGAAATAAGTAATGCCACTGGAATCTGGATTCATAAGAAAAGCACAAGGGTTAAGAAAAAATTAAGTACAAATAACAGCCGACCAATGACCATACGCTACAATCACCTGTCTAATTCCATTGATTATTGAACCATTTTGAAGAGCTACAAAACAAGTATGAGCATATTTTCCTTCCCTGCTTGTCATGCAGCATAACATCAGTTTGATAGGAAATTCTTTACTATAGAAGTGTTTGGAATTGATTTCTAAAACCTATTTTGCCACTTCAAAGAGCATTTAGAAGTAGGATCAGTTTGATAGCTGCGCACATAAATTGAGAAGCAATGATTCTTCTAAAATTTTCATTTCTTATATATCCTCCATCATTTCCGTCTCCAGATTCTGTAAAACTATCCTGATTCTTGTTTTTCTATGCTCACAGGGGCTGTTGTGAGCGTTATAGATGAAAACTATAAAAATACGAAGTAAAAACTAAAAACAAAACGCACCTCCAGTACATATCTAAGAAAAAATATCCCAGCAGCTCTTTAGAACTCAGATCAGAAACAGAAAAAAGCTTTACATCAGGATGCCAAAGCTCGGCATTTGAAACTTCCTCAAACCCTAAACCTATATTAAGCAATACAAACAGAAACATTTACATTAACTCAAAAGAAATAACAAGAGACTAGAGATCAACACTACCATGAATACTTTCACTTCAAACTTACCAAATAGGTCTTGACATATTTTAAAGATTCCTGATAAAACCAAATCACACGGAAAATACTGTCTGATGACTCCGAAGTTGAGATCACATTGTTGTTCTTTGATCCTTTTAAGGTAGTAAGGAAGGTCTTCAATACCAAAGGGCAATTCACCTTCCTCTTTTTTCTGTATAGAAATGTCAACAGAGAAAACGCATTGATCCGCAGACAAAGTTTTTAAACAGTGTGAAACAGAGACTTCTCATATCATTAAAAAAAACTTAACATCTGATGTCACTTTCACAAAGAACGAATAAAATATAAGGCTGAAACCATGATCCACAGCACACCTTAAGTTCTTTTAACAGAGTAAGTTCTCTTGTTGCCAAATCAGTCAAACCGGCAGATACATTCTCCAAGAGCTCGAAAACCTAACAAGTATAGGGCGCACAAGTAAAGACATTATTTCAAGAGAGAGAAATGAAATCGGTATTCACTCATTATTGATTTGATCTGTGATCATTGGGTATATTTTGTATTTTGTGATGAGACATAAGTGTTATGACCTTCTTTGCTGTAAGTGGCCACCATCATAGTTACCATTACCAAATAACAAGAATGGTACAAAATTCAATAGAATAGAGAAACATGTTTTTATAAAGAAAGTATATATGAAATTATGAATAGTCAACGAGGATATTAAGTTCACACAAATGAAATAGCTATGGACAGACCTTAGATGAGGAGCTGGCCATTCTAACATCTGTGGCAAATTCAGCAAAGTTGGAATAGCCAAGCAATCTTGCAAGTTTATGCCGCAGCTGAGTCTGAAAAATAAAAACAATAAAATAGCTGCATGAAATAGTAAAGAAGATTGAAGCCAATATGATCAGTCATGTATCACGAAGCGAGATGAATACCAGTTTTTCTAAGACAGTGAGATTGACCTCACATCTCCTTCCATAAGCCAAAGCCACGACTTTCCTGGTTGATCCTACCTTCAAAGTACAAAGAACTTCAGAAGCAAATTTTTAAAGATAATAAATAGAAAAGGGTATATTGGTGAAGGCTTGATAAAGAAAGCTGAAGTACTAGCATCATATTCATTCCCTAAAGTTAGAGATGGGTATCTTCCTTTTTTAAGTATGGATATATTTACCTAAATATACCAGGTATTTTTAAGTACTCAAAAGTCAAAACATATTTACATGGTTTGATACTTGCATTTATGGAATCCATAAATTTCACCTTACCTTCACATATCCTTAAAATTGTACTAGTGTCTACTTTATTGCAAGGATATGAAAAGTTCATTAATAGTAATACTCTGTATCATTTATCTCTAGTTTGACTTCAATATCACCTTAAAGAAAGATTGATAACACTAGGTACGAAATGGTAGTTAGCAATTATGGGTATTTAATTGCAAAATACTTCCCCTGTTTTCTTTTAAGGGTAATACTTCCTTTTTCATGTTTGCCAACGCACAACTTTGACCATTAATATATATTGTTCTCTATTAGTAAAAAAATTAAAAATATCATTTTTTGAAAGTTTATGATGAGAAAAAATTAACAATCTTTGTCGAAAATAATTTTAAAATAAATTAATCAGTAAAGCTTAGTCAAAGTAGAACACGTGAATAATGTAAAATTCAACATGTTGCACTTGTTTAAGAACGGAGGTAGTATACCATAACGAATGAGCATTAAAAATCCTAATATTGGATAATCTCACCTTGCAGAGCTCTAGAACTGGTGTAACGTGATGGCTTTTCAGAATTAATTTTACTTTTCCTTTATCTGTTTTTTCTAATCTCTGCATTAAAATAAGTATCAAGTTAGGAATGTAATACAATTTAAGCTTAAATCACATGACATTCAATATGAATATAGAAATAAATAAAACTAACCTTAAGGAAAGGTGCTGGTAATCCTGTTAGCTCTGTCTCACTAAGAGTGAGAAAAGTAGTATCATCGTTCAAGTTTCGAATATATTGCGTACTCAGCTCATCAATTTGAGTCCTCAAGCGATGCAACTCCTCTCTCTTGGTTAAGGTAAGACTTAACCCATTCCGTTCAAAGTCTCGAACCTTCACTGAATTCAAAACAATAAATTATCTGAACTAGAAAATATTATGTTGAATCCACTTCTAAAGAAGAATCCAATAGCCAAGTAAGCCAACAAGGAAGGGTCTTTTGATGTGAGTGACATATAAGAAACTAAAGAATTTACAAGAACATATGACCATATGCCAATCAAATTAGTAAAGAATAAATGTATATGTGTGTGAGTTTGGGTGGGTGGGAGAAGAGGCTCCAATAGGTACCAGTGTACCACTCCACAGATAAGTACTTTATAGCTACAATTAAATGGGCACATATTAAACAAACTCTAGAATGATGGTAACCATTTGATCGTGGATAATTTAACCTAATGGTTGAGGATAAGTCCTCATATGGGACTTGTTTGTGGTAACCATTATCAAACCACACCAAGATGGCACATATTAAATCAACACTAAAATGATCATAACCATTTGATCTTGTATGATTGAATTTAATGGTTAAGATGTAGTCCTCATATTGGGAGCTGTTTGTGGTACCCATTAAAACCACACCAAGATGGCACGACCATACAGTTTATAATAAGTTCTAGAGTTCATTTGATGCTTACACTGCTATTAAAGACAGAGTGGATCTAGAATTAGAAAAAGTACTTCTGGACACCTAATGCTACATAATTACATATGGAGTACTAATCAAGAGAAGGTTGAAATTTAGCATAATGGGAAGCCTTATCAAGGAGAGAAAGTGGTACGCAAAGCCCCATCGCATTAATCATTCCAATCAAATAAATACTATAGCAACATGCTTGCTAATATCTTCATACCAGGAATTGAATAAATCTTTTGGCTTCAGTGGTCATCCTGTCTGCTTTTGATGCCAGAGATTTAACAACTCGGTAAACATCTTCAAGTTTACTGTAGGATACACAAATGTGGTACAAATCAGAGGGCTTAGTAGACAGGAGAAATATCCCCGAGTATAATTCCTCTTTTATCGTTTATCTTCTTTGTCTTTTTATGTTCTTATGTTATTTTTATCTTCTAGCTTTTTTATGCTCTTTTATCTTTTATCTTTCTTATATTCTTATGTTATTGTTATCTTATATTTATTTATCTTTATCTTATTCGTTTTATCTTTTTTCTTGTTTTTTTCTTCTTGTCTGCCTTCTCTTTTTGGCATCGATATCATGGATCGATTCATGTTAGCCGGCCCCAAAAGCTTTTGGGATTAAGGCTTGGATGTTGTTGTTGTTGCTGTAGAACGGAACAGTCTTAATTCAATTATTCAGAAATTATATCCTACCTCTATCCCATTAGAAGGTTCCCATCCACTATTCGCATGGTCAACTTAAATCATTTCTAATCTTTTGCTTTATATATCAAATTTTTATCAAATTTACATTTTTTTATCAGGTTTTGTAGCGGTTTTAAATTTTTAATGTAGTTTCTGAATATGTAAATTTTATTTACTAAAAATAATTTGTGTAAACAGGGATTAAGTTGCTTTATCGTCTGTCAAGCATGGTAAACTGTAACGGGAATTTTCTAGCGGGACGGAGGGAGTAAAATTTAACATTTCAACTTTTATCTTTGCTTTTTTGTACGTGGAAATGAGCAAACACGTAACAGGAGTAAATGAAGACAGCGACAAAGTTATCATTATCGTACAAGTATGCAACCTGCAAATTGAAATATGAGCATCTATTTTTTTCTCTGCTTGAGCACTAGCTTTTCGAACTTCAGGTGAAGCTGACACCCACTTTGCAAAGACACATGACTGTATCAGAGGAAATTGCTCTGCTTCCAGTTCTGCCAATGGTAAAACCACATTTGCATAACTGACCTGCAATTTCGAATACAGAGTATCAGCAATAGGTATAACTCCTTGAATGCATGTTGTCAATAGCTCCCTTGTGAAACAGTAAGCAAATTACTATGCATGGCCGATTGGCTGAAGTATAAACCCGAAGTATAAACAAAGCTAAAGGTATAAATTTGACCCATTTCACCCGAAAGTAAGTCTTGAACTACTTTATTTCATTATTAGTCAATTCAACCAGGGCAGTCACAATAGTTAGTGATGAGTAAAAATTACAACAAAATCAAAGCCTAACAAAGAAGCTTTTACACATGAAGGGAACAATGGTGTGAATGCATTGCCCAAGTTGCATTTTTACTCATTACTGTACATCAAAGAGGGAATGTTAAGGTTTCCTAAGAGATACTCCACATATGAAAGAAAAGGTATAGTGAACCCAATCATTTTCCTACTCTTCAATTTTTCAATTATCGCAGAAGTCCATAAGCTTGCATTTTTTCTCAATGTTATGCTCATTGCAGATGGAAAATTAGCTATCCTACAAAACACCCTAAAGGAATTAAAGAACTGCCAGTCTGTCTCAAAGTAGAATAGATGTTTAAGAAGAACCTTGTCCAGAGGAACAGAAGCAACTGCATCATGGACCTGCTTTGATTTGGTAATTATGTTGTCCGCTAATCTCAGAATCTCTGAAGCAGATAGATTTATTCGAACATTTAGCCCCGGAATCTCTAAACCTTAGAAAAGACATGCCAATTCAGTTCAGAAGGAAAAAAAAAAATGCTCGTGTATATTGTAGAACAGCACCAGTTGCGATTGTTTCGAGCATTGAAACATAGAAGTGAACGAATAATTAGACTACTATTAAAATTTTAAAATGCAAGGAGACACTCATAGTTGGGGATGACCTTTTCTATTGCGGCTTCTCTTGTGAGAAATGTAAGCAGTTACGGCAAAGTTGACGGCTACGGCGAGAAAAGCGACAGCGCCGGTGAAAGCAACGAACTTTTGCTTATCTCTATTCTGCTTCGCCTCCATTCTCAGCGCGCTTCGTCTTCCGCAAGCTGCAAAAATCTGAAACTGTCTCCCCCAATCTGTGTAGAATTTCTGCAACTCACCTTGCAACGGATGCAAGGAAGTAAATGAATGTGGCCGCCGAAGTGGCGGACTGGGAGGATTTGACCTTTAACGGCCGACAAATCGTCCCGGTATCACGCGCCCTCCTTTCCCATTGACTAAAATTTGTAAAGCAAAGTACTATGATCCGTGATTATTGAGAATGCTTAGAAAAAGGGCTTATCTACTTTTAGCTTCTAAAAAGTCAAAAATGGTGTTCGACAGTTTGCAAATTGAAACTTCTTATTTCAAGCAGCTATAAGCTAAAAGTTGCAAACTGGGTTATACATGCTTTTTTCTACTTCTAGGGCTTTTTGTAAATAAATCCAACTATTAGGATAGTTTTATTCCTTATTATGTTGATTAATCCCTTGAACTACCCTTCGTTCCCACCGGCCACAACCTTTATACTTGAATAGCCGAGGAAGTTGGTCAACGGTTCCTGGCAAGCTTCGTCCCATCCGTGACCTCTCAAAGACATACCCCATTGACTTCTGCCTTTTCCTCTCTCAAAGCCATGACACCTCAATTTAAACTTGATTACATTTATAGAGGAGAAATGTCAGAAAAAAGAATTCATGTACTTCTATTTTTTAAGAAAAACTTTGGTCACAGTCACCAATTGCAAATGATATCTCAACCACCCGTCGTATCAAGAAGCACTGGAAGCACCGATGGCTAACTTTACTCTCTTTCTCTCTTCTCTGTTCACGGCTGAAATTGTAGCTCACGGTCTGGCGATTTAGGCTTTTTAGTAATATTTTATGTATACAAGGGACATTATTGTACTTTAACAAAATACTTCATCAAAAATCACTTTTTTTATCAAACACTCCAACTTTTACATTTTAATTAAAATCACTTATATTCTCAAACACTATCAACTTTTACTACAAATCATTTTTCCAATAATTTATTAAAAAGATCACTTTTAAAAAGCACAAGCAATCGCAAACAATCCCTGAGTGTTCGGACTGTTGGGTATTACAAAAAGTGATTTTTGTGAAAATATTCACTCCTTAATACTCCGTATTTAATACTTCCTCCTTATTTTTTTGTTATTTTTATGTTGGCTACACTTTCTCTTTTTTATATGTTTTTCCTTTGAAAATTCTCAACTACCCTTATTTTTTAGAGGCCGTTTGGCAACACTATTTTTCGGCTTATCAGCAAGCTTTTTCACCAAACACGTAATTTTTGCTTTCACGCGCTGAATTGTGTAATAAGCAGAAAAGTAAGGTTGGAGCTGCTTTTCTGGTTGTATTGGTTGAAGTTAATGTAGATAGCCATTTTAACTGTTTTTACATATAACTTTTTCTTTATTTTATTAAGAAAATATATTTTGAAAATATTTTTTTCTTAAAACAGCAGAAACAGTCAATGCAAACACTTCATCCAGAACTTCATGAATTTCAACAAAATCAGCCAAATCAGCCGATTTTCGTGCTACCAAACGGGCTCTTATACTTTTCATCTTCTCTTTTATACTTTTCCGTCATCTCTCCTACTTTTTTCTACATTATTCATTACTCTTACTTTTTCTACTATTTCACTCTTAAAAATGTGTCAACACCTATTGTAGCAAACAAAAAATACGAAGAGAGTACTATCAACAAAAGTTGATAATGTTAAAAATTTGACGATAGCATTTTTATGGAAGCCTATACTATATAACCGGTTGTACAGTGTCAATCGTACATCTGGTGACATTTTTGTAATTTTGGTGAAAAACACGACTTCTCTTTAATGAGCATTAACGCAATTTTGTTGAGCATCAAGTCTATTCTTTTGAGTATTAGGAGCCTAAGAATGTGCATCGGTGTTCTCTGCTTCATATCTTCTAATTTCTTTTCTTTTTATCGTTTTTTCGTTTATAAAGTCTTAAATTATGTTTGTAATCAATTCCAATTAATTTCAACATGTGAATCTAATGTAGTATGATACGTTTGAAATGTGCAACATTTTAAAATGAACATAAAGATGTACCAAATAAGCTTACAAAATGAGTATCAAAAATTTCAAAATCTCATTTGTGTATGTTCATGCATTTTGGGCTTTATACTCGTTTGAGTTTAACATAATGTAGTATGATGCGTTTGAAATGTGCAACACTTTAAATGAGCATAAAGAGGTACCAAATGAACATGCATAACTTACAAAATGAGTATCAAAACAATTAAAAGCTCATCTGTGTATGGTCATTCATTTTTTGGGCTTTATACTCATTTGAGTTTAACATAAAGTTCATTTCTAATATGCTAAATATTCATTTGTGTATGTTCATTCCTTTTAAGCATGTACTCATTTGAGTTTAATATAAACTCATTTGAGATTCGTCAACAAAGAAGTATGAACTCAGTCTCCTAAATCATCTCTCAATTTGTCGTCTTCATAATTCTTCTTCTCGCAGCACCGGCCAACTAAGAAGATCCCTATGAGCCGACGTCTCTTGCGCAGCAGAATGGCATCCGTACTTGAGGAGAAGAGAGCGGCGAGGAGCAGTCTGCCTGGTGCGAAATCATATCGAAGAAGCCAAACGAGATCGAAGAAGCAGGTGTGAAGTCCTGTGTGAAGCAAGATCGAAGAAGTCCTATACGAAGCCAAGAAGCGCAAAGCCTAAAAAAGGCAGGTTGTACCGTGTGCATGGTAAGCCGAATTTAGACAATCGCTTATCAGATGGCTACCAATACAATCAGGACACCGATCAAAATCGCTACAGCCCGCTTGAAAAGGAGTTGCCCTAGCTAGATTATGAGTTGCACGATTCTCGGAACGTTAACAATAATTGACAATAAAGTTAGTTTCAAAATGAAGAAGTTGTCTGCTATCTTCAATCACCACGCCAAAATAAGAATTTCCATATTCGCCTTCTATGCTAGTGGTGACAACTTGTGCATCAGTCTCAAGGATTACTCGGTCCCGCCCTTTCCTTTTTGCCCAAGCTAAAGCTTCTCTCACCCAGTCACCCATATGCCCTCTGTTATCCTGATAGACCATTCTGCTCTACAAGAGTCTCATCCACCTCTCATAAAGTTACCAGCCCTAGGCTTTTATGGTCTTGTGATGATCTATGTAGCACCGATACGGGTACGCGGAAACGTGGAAACGCGGAAACGGGTACAAGGATACGACAAAACCAAAAAAAAGTAGGATACAGATACGAGGCCATGTTTATAAATATTACGTAGTAAAAGTTATGGGGTGTATTTATAAATATTAAAAGTTACAGGGGTGTATTTATAAATATTAAAATTACATTTTTTAGAAGAATAGATATATACTATCCTTTGACGTCTACTCTTTCATGACATTGAAACATTTTACATTTTTAGATCAAGATTCTTAGAAATAAGTTCTTATTTTATCTCATATACACTAGTGCACCTCGAAATATAAATATAGTCAATAAGTCATTAATTTAATATGAGAAAAAAGTCAAACAACTACAGTTTTCAAATTAAAGTGCATGTGATCAGAGTTATAGAATAATGAAGATAGAAAACAATATTTTAAATGTTCTAATCATATTTTTGTTGGAGCTATTAATTTCTAGGAATAATAGAATTGGGGATAGGAAGATGGGTGAATCGGGAATAAACCATTACTTGTGTACCACATAAAAGCAAGGTAAACATTATATTTAGCTTTTCATTTCTTAAAAATTTTATTATGTAAATTTTGAGTGTTTTTTTAAAAAGTTTTTTTTTGAAAGAATTTTTTTTAAAAAAAATTGATACGGGTATCCGAAATTTTAAAATAATTACCAAAAAATGGAAACTTTTAAAAATTACTGATACGGCCCGGGAATGTACAGTACGGGTATCCTAGAGTATCGGATATGGGAACATTTCCGATACGCCGATACGGCACCTTAATGAAGTATCCGTGCTTCATAGGTGATGATCAATGGTGCCATCCACGTTAATTTTTATTACGCCTATAGCATGTTTCTTCCATCTGGTGTGCGGTCCCACCCCTCCACGAGGCGTGGTTGACTTGCCTTGAGCTGCCCGCCAGACCGCCATTCTTCAAGCATTACAATTCCAATATTGATTACTTGTGAGGGATTGAAAGATTTATTATCCCAAACCACTTCGTTGCGCTCCTTCCGGATACTCCATAGTAGTGAAATAAATTTGCATAATTCCTCATGTGTTATGATATCAAAAATATGTTCATCCCAGCCCTGCAAAGAATTAGTCGAACAACTCAAATTCATCCATGCTTTACTCCATATTTCGACCACCACTCCGCAATCTTTGAGAAGATAGACCGTAGACTCGTCTTTCTCATGACACGATCTCCACTCACTTGGGATGTTAACCTTTCTCTTTCTCAATCTATCCGTCGTTGGTAATAAGTCAGTCATTACGTGCCAAAAAATCTTTGGATCTTGGTCGAATAAAAAAAACTCACATTTTTGTCCAACGTGTCCAGAGCTGCACCTCAAGTTCCCTAACCACCCTCCTATACCCTGACTTAAATGTATATTTCCCTTTGGATTCATCGCTCCACCAAAACCCACTTTCGGGGCTTCCCGTTTACCGAGAGTACTCAAATTGGCCACCTTATCATACTCATTAAAAATAGAATTAACCTTGGCTATGTCTCATCCTGACCGGTCCTCCTTCACTAGGGCCACTACATTCATATCAAAAATCCATGAGGGTTTAGCCGAACTAAATCGTGCCTTTCACCTGGGAGCCATTTATCATGCCGCACACAAATATCTCTTCCGCGGAGCCTACTGTTCTCCTTGACCGGATTTTGAGCTTCAAAGATACTCCTCCAAATGAAAGAGAAGTTATTTTCCAATTTCGCATCAAGAAAAGAACCATTTAGGTAATATTGTGCCTTGAAGACTTTCCCCACTAGCGAATCGGGCTTTGTAACTAAACGGCGTGCTTGTTTTTCCAACATGGCTATATTAAAATCCATGACTGATCGGCGCCCAAACACTCCCTTCGACTTCGGCACACACGATCTCTTCTAGCTCCTCCACCTGATGCCACGACCTTCCAGGCCTTTTCCTCGCCACCAGTATCCGTTCATAAGTTTTTCAATTTGCGAACATAACTCCTGCTGTAAGAGAAACACATTCATAGCCTAGATAACCATTTTCAACAAA